TGTGTGTGTGTGTGTGTGTGTGTGGTGTGTGTGTATGTGTGTGTGTGTGTGAGAGAGAGAGAGAGAGAGACAGAGAGACAGAGAGAAGAGGTGGGGAGGGTGGCAGGCAGTGTCAGTAAACTCTGGCTCACTTTCTGCCTCAGCTCCTACCATCCTCATGGACATGGACCCCCAATCTCCAGTGATGCAGGAAGAGATCTTTGGTCCAGTGATGCGCATTGTGTGTGTACACAGCCTGGAGGAGACCATTCAATTCATCAACCAGCGTGAAAAGCCCCTGGCACTTTATGTGTTCTCCAGCAACAACAAGGTAGGCCTGGGTATCCTCCTCCCAGCCTGCTGGGCTCCCAGGCACAGCTCACATGCAAAGGAACCCAGGGATCCGCAGACCTAGGTTCAGATTGCAGCTTTTCCATTCATCAGCTGTGTGACCTTGGACAAGTCATTTAACCTGTCTGAGTATCTTTGGCCTTATCTCTATGATCAGAACAGTGTCATCCTCTGAGAACTGTGAAGTATCCATTGACACAGGCTTGTAGGAACTGTCACTGTTTCCCCTTGTGGTACTGAGGGCCATGAGATATTTGGGGTGGGCTGGAGATGATGGCTGGGGCTGAGGATGCCAGAGCCGGTGACTAAGGCATCATGTCCTTGAGGTTCCAAGACATGTTTGGAAAGGGTGGGGAAGGTGGCAGAACTGCAAGGCCAGCACCTGGGTCTTGATGCAGGTGATTAAGAAGATGATTGCAGAGACATCCAGTGGTGGGGTGACAGCCAACAATGTCATTGTCCACATTACCGTGCACTCTCTGCCCTTCAGGGGTGTGGGTGAGTCTGGCACTGGGATCCTAGAGGTCACCTGCTATTCTGGCTTTCACAGAGGTTCCAAGGCTGGGGTCATGCAACCATTTAGTGACATAGCTTGGGTGAGACTCTTTATGGGCCCTTTCACCCCTAGCATAGATGCCCTGAGGGACACTCTAAGGTTTGGCTACCCAAGGAGGCTCAGAGGGTTGTGAATGCAAGCTGGCCTGGGCTTCTGGCCCTGAACAAACCCCTCATGCAGGAGACAGTGGCATGGGGGCCTACCATGGCAAGAAGAGCTTCAAGGCCTCCTCTCACTGCCGCTTGTGCCTGCTAAAGTCTCTGCTGAATGACGAAGCACACAAGGCCAGGTACCCCGCAAGCCCAGCCAAGGTGAGAGGCGAAGCCCAGGAATGTTGGAGAGGGCAGGCTGTGCAGGACAAGGGCATGAGTCCTTGGGTCTCATGTCCCCTCTGTCCTCACAGATGCCCCAACACTGAGACGGCTGCTACACCTGACTCATTTGTGCTGGCTCTGTCCTGCCCTTGGAGAGTTGCTCTCAGAGACTCGGCCTGGCTTCTCCCTCCCTGTTGCCCTGTGCCCACACCTATATCCCAGATGGCTTTAGTCTCACCCCTCCAAGTCCTGCTGACCAGGCACAAAGACCAATAAAGCTTTTTGAAGGGAAGTCTTGTGTGCAATATCTCTTTGTACCCTGCACCCACTGGCCTGCCCACCCTGACCCCTGGCCCTTTGAGGTTTGGTTACTCTGACAAACCTACAAAGCCCTCTCCTGCTCCTACCTCCAACATACATTAGCTCATGAGCTATGAGGCGGGAGGTCATGGTTTCAGGACATTTATCTTCCATTTAAAATTTAGGATGCCAGCTCTATCTGGATCTGGGTTCCTGTGATGGGGAAAAAATTAACCTGATATGGAACTAATGAACTATGTCATCAGTATAACTTTGTCCTCTGTGTTAGAGGAGTAAGTGCTAGCACATGCATTTGACAAGTGCCTTATGTACTCCCAATAATAAGTATACTTGTATATGCAAAGCAACAGGGCTTTGGAAACTTTTACTTGTACTCAAATAATAACAGCCACTCTGAGCTCAGTCTTGGGCTGCGATAAGACAAGGCAGACATCCACAAAACACGGTCTATGAGCACCTTGAAGGATGCTGCCTCTTGCAGTGGTCTTTGAGGAAGCACCTGGTACAATTTGTCTTATTTGTTAAAATAGCTAAGATTGCGCTGACATCAGCATATTATTCGGAGATGTCACAACCCCACATTTTCCCAAAATATCTACTAACTGTTTAAATTTCTTATAATAGCCTGAGGGATACCTATACTTCTGTGCTGGAAGTCTAATTCACCAATATGATTACTGCCAAGGAATGATGTGAAAAATCCTATAAAAATCTGAATGTATTTCTGGTCCATGCCTCAGTTTCTGTAGCAGAAGCTGAGACTGGGCTCCCACGTAATAAAGAATAACCTGTTAGACTGGATTAAGGTCACCATATGACCTCATTTTACCTTAGTAGTCTCTTTAAAAGACCCCAAGACCAGACACATTCCGAGTTGCTGGAGGTTAGGACTTTAATGTTTGGTAGGGGGAGATACAGTTCAGGCCATGTCAGTCAGGGTGAACTCTGTGACTAGTGATGTCAAGCCCTCTCCCTTGGCATCACTAGTCACAGAGTTGACCCTGACTGACATGGGCTATCACTGACTGTAAAATGTGTGTGCTGAGTCACATCTGACCCACACTGTGTGTAAGGGGTGAGAGTCCTTTTTGTCTTTGTACACTTTAGCAGATGATCCATACATCTATCCAATAACTGTTCCCTTTCCTCACTACCTTTATGGAGAGGTTTTCTGGGTTGGGAAATTTTTAAAACATTTTCATCATATTTCCCAACTTTCGATTTCAAGAAATGCCACCAGCTATAGAACAAACAAGGAGAAATCAAGCTGGTGCTGACTTCAGAGCCTATCTCTACTGACTAGTATTCACAGTACTGGAAGGTGCTATGCACGTTACTGGAATGAAGCATAAATTACCAACCTTACCATCTGTGAATCCTATGAACTACAACAACTGACCTGGCAAGATATGCCCACCAGTGCAATAGTGGCACAAATACTCTGGGAGTAACCAGCTACTCCCTAACTGGATTTAAGGTCTGCTTCATAGGATGGAGCCTGTACCTGACATTGATATCAGGTTTATGAATCTTAGGCTAGATAGGTTACAGGACATGGGGGAGAGCCTAATATTAGTTTTCTACTAAATAGTTATCATATTAAACTGACTCCTAATGACATCATTATACCCATAGGTTAATGCATTCTTAACTCTTACCAGAGAAGTTTCCTTATGCAGCAGATGGTGATTAACACAGAAATCCACACCTGACCAATGTGCAGAAAACAAGAGGCTTCAGAATGCTTATCCCTGAATAGGACACCTGTATCAACCTTTTGCATCCCAAGGCTTAGCGATCATTGTGAAAGAGAGGTGTGGAAAGACTGTAAGAGCCAGAGGTGGTTGACAACCACAAGGAAACAGTCTTCCAGACAGCTGGTCAATTACTCATGAACTCACAGCAATGGTGACTGCCTTTGTCCACTGAGTCATCTTGCCAGAAAAATTTTGTTTTATATGTGAGAAAAATATATACAAAATGAAAAAGAATTTTCAAACTACAAAGAACAGTCTTAAAAGTAATGATCATGCTGGGCGTGGTACCATACACCTTTAATCCCAGCATTCGGAAGGCAGAGGCAGGCGGGTCCCTGTGAGTTCAAGGCCAGCCTAGTCTACATAGTGAGTTCCAGGATAGCTGGGGCTACTGGGAGACCCTGTCTCAAAAAAGACCAAAAAAAAGTAATGATCATCCCACAAGGAAACAGAGTTTTCCAGACAGCTGATCTGTTACTCATATGAACTCATTGCAATGGTGACAGCATACACAAGTCCCATGCAAGCTCAAACCAGACAAAATCCCAGCATAGATATGGAGAAATAGGTAAGAAACCCCAACCCAACCTAAGGAAAGTTTGGCAACCAATAGCTGCTATGTGGTGGGGGGAGGGGGAGAGAGACAGTCTCTTTCGAGCATGGGGCTCTTAGTAGGTTATCCAGGCTCCAGTTAATGGGCCTACACTGAAAGACATTTGAGACATAGACTCTATAGGCCTTATTATATATATATATATATTAAATTGGGGGGTACAATAAGAGGAGGTACAGATAGGAGAGGGGTCTAAATACTGTTAAATTATATTGTATGAAAATCACAAAATTTAATTGAAAAATGTTTTTAGAAGATAAATAAAATACTAAAAAAAGAAATGCCACCCTAATGTATGACATTTTAGTGTGCTGATTAGTTTGAACTGAGGGCTAGCACAATGACCAGCAATAGGAGGTACTTGATAAGCACTTTCTAAGCAAATGCAGACATGAGTGGGCCTAGGAGACATGGTTGCTGTCTTGTTCTGATCATCTCCACTTCATGCCACTGTCCCATCTGAAGTCCTTGTATTCATCCCAGTGTCATCAGAATCAATCAGAACACTGATGGACAGTTGCCCTGGTGAGAGGTGGGAAGAGGGAGAAGGCCTTGGCTGGCACCTCCTGCCATGCCTCCTCCTTCCTCAGCCCCCTGTAGGCATGTGCAGCATGGGCATGAACCCATCTATGCATGAGGAAATGGGGGCTCAGAAGTAATGCTGTTTGTCCTAAGTGTCTCTGTGCCAGTTACAGGGGTTTGCTTGCTGCTGACACTACAGTGGATCCCACCCCCGTGCATGAGGAGCTGTAGACAGAACTGGAAACATTTGCCTGGGGAAAAGGAGGCCTGGGGATCACAAGGACGTCATCTGCATATTCTGGTGGGGGGGGATATGAATAAAAGCATATAGCTGATGATAATAATTGCCTCTTTCCCCTCCTCTTCTCCTTCCCATTCTTCTCATCTTCCTCATCTTCCTCCTCTTCCTATTTCCTATTATTAGTCTAATACAATTTAATGTTACATTTTTAGCATACAAAGCAATGCATTTCATATGATATTTCCACACACGCATGTCACTGTGCATTGTTCATAGTCTGGCCCTCTCCCTTGTCCCCCTCCACGGGTTCCCTCCCGCCTACTAAAGGTCCCTCCTGCTTTCCTGTCAAAAAGCAGAATATATAGAAATTTAGAGTCTACATTTGAGAGAAAGCATGCTGTGCTTCTCTTTCACCTTTCATTACCCTCGCTTGCTCCCCAAACCTATTCCTCTTGGTACAGAGTCCCTCTGCTTTCATGCCTATGCATTTTTAAAATCTAGATTCTGAGATGGCTCAGGTCAGTGCTTGCCTCCAAGGCTGACAACCTGAGTTTGATCCTCAGATCCCACACGGTAGAAGGAGAAAACCAACTTCCACAAGTTGTTCTCTGACCTCCCACATATACGCACCCACAAATATACATACACATACAAACAAAAAGTGTAAAAATAAAAAATTAAATCTAGATTCTGGATATGAGAATCTGCCTTTATTTCACTTAACACGATGGTCTCCAGTTCTATTGATTTTCCTGCAAATGATGTCACTTCATTCTTCACGGTTGAATAAAGTTCCACTATGTAATGTAAAATATTTCCCCTATCCACTCACTCATTTGTTGATGGGCATCTGCACTGGTTCCATCTCTTGGCTATTAGAAACATGGATGTATAGGAATCTCTGTGATACAATGACTTAGATTTCTTTGAGTACATACCCAGAAGTTTAACAAAATTTCTAATATAACTTGTTTTATTCTAAAGCCCCAAACCTGACCAGTTCTTGACTAATACCATTTCCAAAGTAGATTTGAATGCAAAACAATTGAAAAAAACAAAACAAAACAAAAGAAAAACCTAGTCTATCCCCAAAATCTTAATTTAATCTGTTTGTTCTTTCCATTACGTGGGTTAAGTAATACCCTTAAAAATTGCACAATTATGATTCAGTCTTTCCAAATAATTGCTAAACATTAATAATAATAACAATAATAAAATAATCCAAAACACAAACAGCCAGGACTTGTTGAAACTCATGTGTTACCAGGTAGAGCAAGTGATGTTTCTAGATTACCCGAAGCAGTCCACCACAATGTGCAGTGCTCAGCAGGAGGCTGTGACATCCCAACTCATGCCAGGAGTCACAACCTTAACAAATTGCTCTTCAGTCCCATTGCTCGCTTACCACCAGTGTTGAGATTCTCAGGTTAGATTTTTCATGTTGTCTTTATAATCATGATAACTTCCAAGTTATAGTCTAAGATGCAAAACTTGAATCTGTAGGTGACTTCTGTCAATGTCACATTTGCTGACACCTTTTACCTTTTGTTGTTATAGATCAGAAAGGAAAATTTCATTCATTGTCTGCTCACTCACATTTATTGGGTAGAATGTTCCAGGCCTCAGGGTGGAAGAAACAAACAGGGCTATACTTTTGAGAAGGTCATACTGCCTGGTATGAGATCAGAACAGGCTAGGTTTTGCTACCAGAAAAAGTTCACCTCAAAATCTTGGTGGCTA